AAATACCTTTGATTTTTTATTTTTTTTTTTTTTTTTTTTTCGATCCAAAATTTATTGTAAATGTGGTCATAATATGTGTTTGGAATCAAATGTATATAATGCATATATATTATTGTTAATTTGCCTTCATTTGTTTTTTGGGGTTAATATGGTATTTTAATTATGGCATTTGCGTGCAGCTGCAGCATCAGCTGCGGCAAGCCATCGGCTTTAATGAGATCTCGTTTCGGTGTCAGGTTGATCTTTAGCTTGTTAAAGCCATATTCTCGAATATTTTTTGATCAGTTTCGTTTAGCGTCACTAATTGTCTATGGTTTTTTGTTTATTTTGCTCCGCCAACAACCCCCTCCCCCTGGACGGGGAACTTCGCACGCTTGCCACTTAATTATTTGTTTAGAGTTCTTCGTAACTTTTAACAAAAAATAAAAGCGAATTATTTTTCTCTTCTTCTTCTGTTGTTGTTTATCTCATTTTTTTACTATTCATGTCAACCAAACAAACGAATAGTCTTTAGAAACAAGTCAAAAAATAATTGTTAAGAAAACATGTTTCTGTTTAAACCATCAAAACATTGAATGGCAGCAGACTTTAACTGAGCCGTAAACAAAATATTTGCCTGGCACTTAAGACAATAAAAAAAATCGACACTCGAAACTGGCGATAATCAGCAGCGGCAGCAGCAGCATCAGCCTGTTTCGCATTATCGTAATAATTTTTGGCTAAATATATATTTTTTTATTTTAATTTGTTTACGTTGAAACGGGGTTTACCTCCTGCGTAATAATAAATAAATAATTGTTTTTATTGTTGTTGTTTTTCTAGAGTTCTTGAGTCGGAGACAAGTTTATCCTCTGGTACACCGGTTTCATTTAAACACATTAAGACGTATAAAACGTCAAGAAGCGTGTAGCAGAAAAGATATTATCGCCATTTTTTGAGAGGTCACTTTTCAAGTATTCTACTTGAAAATTAAATTCAAAAGAATTAAATTCCCAGAATTTCAAATTATAATGAATTCATTTAGTTTTGTTATAGTTTACTTTGACCCATATTGGGAGCTTTGAATTCTGCTTAGTAATTATGCGGATGAGGACCTATATGCGTTGAGATAATAAGTAAAAAATAAAATAGGAATTTGTCAAGAAAGTAAATTTCAAACATGGCTAAAGAAAGATTATTTCTGGATGAAAACGTTGCTGGAAGACAATCCGCTCTGGAAGACTTTGCTTAAAAAAAATAAACTATATGCAGTAAAGAAATCTCATTACAAAATAATAAGTTTGAAGGCAAAGCATGATATTCACATGCAAAATGTTCTGAAAATATTTCGTCGGATCTGCTCCCTGACTGTGGGAGTGAACTGGATAGCTTTTTGTGATGTACATGTCACCTTCGAGAAGTTAAAATAACATTTATTTTTTTTGAAAGACTTATTTGGAAATTACGAATCAAAAATTGATTTTAACCGATTGGACAAAATCAATTGAAGCATGGTCCAACCAAAAAGATAACTTAACTCCGAAAGAAGTAAAAAAATGTATCTCTGTATTATTGTATTCTTCTATCACAAAGCCTTCTAAAGTAAGCAACCATTTCTACCTCCCTCCCTCTCTCTCTCTCTCGAATTCGAGTAGAGGGAAAAATGAATAATTGCGAGTATGGTTTTGTTCATTTTTGTGTGGGAGTAAAATGTTCTCGAAACCGAGAAATTTCTACTCTTAACTGCATTCTTTTATTTCTTTAAATTATTACTCAGATCCAAGCATTTCGATTCCCACTCTTATTTCTCAAACAGAAGTAATCGCATTGCTGCCTGCAAAAACGAAAAAGTAGAAAATGAAGTTCTTGTTAGACTCACTCTCTTCGATCATACTTGCTCGAAAAACTCGCTCGATATTATACAAGGACAGAAAGTCACTCGAAGTGGAGCCTAAGTACTTCTTGAAGCAGAAAAAACCGAGTAAACTCACTTTTTCGATGTAGCTCGAACAGGAGTTATGATCATGTTTTTCTCGATTTTTTAGTGGGAACAAAATTCGTTCGAAATCAAGCAGATTCTACTTTAGCCGATTACTCTATTAGTCTTTGTCATACCCTTGCTGTATATATGGGCGTTTTTCGGTAACGAAATAGCGAAAAACTCGCTCGAGTCAAAGTACTTCTTGGAGCAATGAAAAACCGAGTAAACTCACTTTTTCGATGTAGCTCGAACAGGAGTTATGATCATGTTTTTCTCAATTTTTGAGTGGAAACAAAATTCGTTCGAAATCAAGCAGATTCTATCCTAACCGATCACTCTATTGGTTTTTGTCATACTCTTGTTGTATTTCTATATAAGTGTATTTTTTCGGTAACAGGTTCACACCATTCCCCCCACCTTACCCCCACTCTTGCTGCTGCACACACGCCACATATCAGCATACCAATATATTTTTCCACTCATTTTCACTCTTAGAGCAGACTCTTAATCTATTTTGAGCATTTTGCTAACAGGGGTGTCACGGGGCGTTGCCACACAAAACAAATGAGTTGTAAGTAGACTCCATAAAAACGGACACACTTCGAGCAAGATTCGCTCCCGAGTGAAAATTAGCAAATATGTCCTCTGGTTTTGACAGAATGGGGTTATCAAAATAAACATTTTTCAATTGAACTGTCTGAAATTCTACACAAGGAGTTCTCTGTGAGTTCTTTGCCTTTGTCTATAAGGTCCACGATATCGCATGCCCCCATACAATGGTACCCCCGATATTCGATATTTTGAGGATCTTAGCCACATTTTTCAATGGAATGGTCTGACATGAGTACATTACCCCCGGATAAGATGTGTGTATATAGGTCCACGATATCGTATATCCCCCATATAACGGTACATCCCAATATTCGGTATTTTTATGATTGTAGCTAATTTTTTTTTTCAATGGAATTATCTTAAAATCCATATAAGGAGTTCCTTCTGAGTACTGGAATAGAATTGTCTATATAGGTCCAAGTTTTAGCATAACACCCATATAACGGTATCTCCAGATATTCGGTATTTACATGATTTTAGCGACATTATTCACCGGAATTGTTTTTAATTACGTATATAAAGTTCGTAATGTCGGAAATATATTCCCCACATAACGGTAGCTCCCTTTATTCGGTATTTATTCACCGGAATTGTTTAAAATTTCGTATTTAAAGTTCAGAATCGTTACTACAGCCTTATGCAGCACCTCGTCTTCGTATATCCCCCATATAAAGGTTTTCATTTTAGTGGTATTTTTCGACGGATTTTTTTTTTTTTGAAAAATTTTCAAATTCCTTCTAAATGGTGGAGGCTATAAAAACTTCAGTTCGGCCGAAATTAGCTGCTTTTGTACTTGTTAAATTTATCTGGCGTGTTTGAGTAGAAAAAAAACATGATTCGATAGTCTTGGTAGGGCGGTGTTCAAATTTGAAAACGTTTTAATGTGGATGGGTGGAAGTGTATCAGCATCAAAAACCCCGAATTACACATATAGAAAAAACCCGCAAATTTAGAATCATGTTTATATTTGTATTCCAAAAATAACGCTGTTCAATACTTATTGTTCAGCTAAAACCAAAGTTTAAATGTAAAGCAAATGAAAACGTCCTGATTTCGGGTGCATCTAGGGGTAAAGTGCCATTATGGAATGAATAAAATTAAAATTGCTTACGAAGATGCAGCTGTGGATTATCCAGGTAAACCAAAACTACGGCATAGTCTTTTGATGCAAAAGTGTTAACGGGTTTTCATTTTTATTAAATTTCTATTATATGTGCAATACAATCCTCCAATGTTGAATTAATCACCCGAGATTTGTTTTTTGTTTATTTTGTTAGCCAACAATAAGATGTCATCCCCCATTTCTTATTTGACAACTGAATCTTAATTGTATTTTGGACGATAGATGGCGTGATTTACATTCCCCCATAACAAACAAAACACCTACAAAACTTTCAATTATTTCACAATTCTATTCAATTCTGGAAATGGCCCACGCATTTCACTTTGGGCTTAGAAATTAGACACCTGTTTTCGTGAGAGAACATATTTGTCATTACGACGGATAGACGAACGCGCGGTCGGCTGTGGCTTGTGTCATTGTTTTCTTGCCATTCAAGACACAAGTAAATAAGTTCTAAATTGAGATTTTACGATCAGAATGATCATTAGGCCTTCCATAACAGAATGTGAGCCCACCTAATTTCGAGTTTCTTCGCCCGAGTGGCGTGGAGAGAGAACACTAAAGACGCAAATCAATTTGCATATCAAAATTGTAATTAAGTTGTTTTCGCCTTGCAAGTGGACTGATAAATAACTGAGCGTGTCCAAAAAAAATAACCAAAATAACAAGGTGTTTGTTGTTGTTGCTTTCTTAAGGTTCAATTAAAATAAAATTGATGCAAATGATTTATTATTGTTTTTGTGATTGTGTGGCTGTGTCGCAGCAGTTTTGACCACAAAATGGCTATTGCTGCCCGGTAATGTTGGCGGCGCTGCCGGCTGTTGTTGGTAAGTAAATTTCGTGACTGCGGCTTGAAAAAAAAAAAAAAAAAAAAACATTTGCAACAGTTAACCAAAGTTCTAACACCGCTCCACTCACGATTTTGACCATAATCCGTTCATAAAATGTTAATTGTTGTGTTTGAATGTCAAAAGAAATCCGATCTTTAAATTTTGTCTTAATTTTGCTAACATTGTTGCTGTTACAAGCTGTAAAATAAATGGCTTAAGAATAGCGGTTTCTTTTAACAGCCAGAGGCGGCAACTTGCACGTGTGGTTATTTTTTCCAAAAGGGGGTTAATACCCAAAATAACCAATTTTACAGGAGAATACTATGATTTTTTATTGTTTTTGTCATAATTTTGTTATTTTTATATTTTAATTTTGCATGAATTCTGTTTTACCTCTTTTTTTATTTTTGTTATGCCTTTTTGCTTATCGTTTGCCTTTTTGCGTTCTTTTCTTTTTTTCCATGTTCTTTTGCAGACACAAGCAGCATGAGTCGTGAAAGCGATGACAATTTGAGTTCAATCAATTCACAATATACAGGTAATTATTTGTTTTATTTAATTTATTTGATTTTTTATTTAACATTTAATTTTTATTTTTGGTGGGAGCGTTTTTTTTTTTGGTTTAGTTTCATGCTTTTAATGCGATTTTAATTTATTGCGGTGAATGGCATGTTGTCGCATTTCCTAACTTTTATCATCATTACTGGCATCTTGTTCCTCTCTGCGGACGTAACCATTTCTGCAATTGACCTGAAACATCATCATCACAAATCCATGGCTTGACTACGTCTTCATTTACTTTTTTATTTGATGACATTATTTTGTGGCCATTTTTTGGTTTCTTGTCTTTTTTTTGTTGAGATCTTGATCTTTTTTTGGTTGCAAACAAATGAAACTAATTACATGGGTGGTATTAAGTTTTGGGGGATTTGAAATGAGTTTATAATTGCTACGCACTTTTCTTTGACGGCAGTTATGACTTCAAAACCAATTGAAATGAAGCGTGCCGCCTTCTCTCATTTTATTCAAGTGTGTGGGTGTCCCACTTTTACTTCCATCGATTCGTCAAGTGATTGCACAAGTGGTACTCCAGGTTAAAGAGTTAGGCTTTGAAATGTTCAAACTCTATAAAAATGTTGAATTAATGAAATAAAAGTAAAGTAGAGGAGGTATAGAGTAACTACATAATTCTTTTCATACCACCTATGAACATTTGGCTGTAGAGCAGTTATAATTTGGTTTCAGAGGGAACTAATATATCGGAGGCATATTTACTCGAAATCGATTGAAGATATATATTGGAGCTATATCCAAATTCTTGTGGAGTGTATATTACGAATGTGAGGGACTTAAACACTAAAATCGTTAGTTTATTAGTAGAAAACGATGGTAATGTTTACCAGGGGGTAAGGCAGGGAATACCTAGGTTTCGGAAAGATCCACCAATCCTCATAAGTTCCCTTGTTTTTTGTCTGGGATATTATCCCCAGAAGTTATTACAAAATAACAAGTGACGAGATCGTAAGCTCAATAGAAGAGGAACCAACGAATTAAATAAAACTAAAATTCTTTTGGAAAATCTTCTAAATCTTACAACAGCACTTACAAAAATTTTATCTTTTTTAATTTTATTGAATGAAGGCAAAAAATGTCGGAAATAGCATCAAATTTTAGAATAAGTTTAGATTTGTTCGAATTGGTAATGTGGCCCATTCCCGGCCAAGCGAAGCAACTCTTTAGCTCTTTTGAGTTTATTTCCTTTCTGTTGCGGTGTATGTTCTTGCACTTTTTGGAATTTCAATGGCTTTACCCCGAGCTCATTTTTCAATATCTGCCGAATGGAATATTGCGATATATTCAGCTCACGAGACATTTTTCGGCCATTGCGACGCGGGTTTCGATCAAGTCGTTTCTTTACTTTTCGAACCATTTGTGTTTATATTGCTGTTTTCTTCCGTCCAATTCCTCGACGTCGGGCTACGCTACCAGCATCACGGTAACGAGCGATGCTACGAAACACAAAAGATTTATTCACATTTAAATGCTGGAGTGCTCTAGCGGTAGCCACTTGTGGTTTTCCAGCCAAATATAAAGAAATCACACTATCACGCTTGAATTCCATCACGAATAACTTTTTTTCTGGAAAATTCTCTCCAAAATGTTTTTGTATGCTTGTAAACAATATAATGAGCTGTCACTGGAATAATTTAAACAGCTATCAGACGAGTGGCTTAGAAATAACAGCAGTCTAAAGTTGATTGCAGTTTTTTCATCTCACCATATATGGTTTAGGATATAAAAATCACCCTTTGCAAGTTCCGTCCTCGATAGTAGGATATTCTATTGGGTAATCATAATCGCATCATTTTAAGATCTCAAAATATTAAAATTGAAGTTAAAATTTTGAAATGAAAATGTTGCTTTTTTTCGTTTTAAAACCCAAGATACCTCATTAATTTGTCTCTGTTTTGATATGCCATTAATTACATTTGAAATTCTCCCTCCGACGGAAAAAAAACTTTCCCTTTCAATATTACCATTTATTCGAAAACTTAACACTTCCACGACATAATTAATTCAAATTTTGAACTCGAATAATTTTTTTGTTGTAATTTTTTTATTATCATTTTTGTTTTGGATGTGCGTGTACGCAAATGCCTGAAAGTTGTCGCGCCTTTTCAAATTGTTTCCCATGATCTGTTATGCGTAGATAATATTGCGTGTTGCCTTGTCAACATTTTGTCGGAATCTTTCATATTTGTTTTACTTTAATTCTTTTCGCAAGACAGAAGAGGAGCAATTTCATTTATGGACATATTACACATGTTTCTGTCCTCATCTCATTGGGCCCATCGCGGTGGCCGTTTAGGCAATGCCAAGTAATTTATTGTCTTTAAATGTTTCCTCTCGTGTTGCCATATTTGAATATTCTCATTTTTTTAATTGTTTTTCTGTCATTCATTGAATAGATAATTTCATTCATAAGACGATGAATGAATGAAGGGAAGCCGTTGGACTGACCGAAGCAAAGGCCAAAATAGAAATAGCAAATGTTTTGTGCAAATTCGATGGAGAAACAGAAACAGTAATCGAATCTCATTAGTTATTCAAATCAGGCGGTTTTGATTTAAATACAGAGAGAGAGAGAGAGGGAGAAAGAAAGAAGTGGAAAAAGTTACAAAGTTGTTTATTATTAACATTATGCAAAATATAATATTCTGCTATAAATTAATTTCCATAGATAAAGGTTATGAAAATTAAAGATACATTTGTAGGATATTGGGTTTTATATAATTATTAAGGGCGTACTCAGGGAAATCCCCTTTTGCAATACGAAATTTAAAGTTTTTAAGAGCTCTTTAATTTTGATAACATATATTGCAATTGTAGTACATTTTAGCGTACTAGAAATACAATTGCCTTTGCAATTGTTAACATAACTCTACCTTAAGATTGCATTATCCAAAAATATCCCTTAATTAAATTATTTGGAGTCTAGGCCATAATTATCCTCTACGTTTTCCCACATTTCCCAGACAGCATATGGAATCCGAGTCAAAAGAACAAGCCGATTTTATACGCGTTTGCCGAACCAAATATGCCCCCTTCACTTTTGTATTTAATGTTATTGTCCATTGTCCGACAACTGAACAAGTTTATTAACAGAAACAGCAAAAGGTTAAATTAGCTATTAACATTTTCAACATTTCAATTTCAATTAATAACTCACGTACACAAATTAGTTTGCCATTGATTTCAGCTAATTTACTGCGTAAATAAATTTAATAATTTTTTCTCTAAACAATAAGAGTAACATAGAAAATAAATTTAAATACATTAAAAAAACATTTTTGTTCTATAGATATTCGAGAAAAAAATCTAACGAAATATTTTCCCACGAATTGATTGATTTTGAAAGACATCATCATCATTAGAGGATAGAACAAAATTCAACATTGGCATTTGACGTTTTATTATAAATGAATTTTAGAATACCTCAAAATTCATGCAGGCTTCCCATTCTCTTCCCTCTCTCGTTTAGAGATTCATTAACGTCCCAACGAAAAATCTCAGCATAGAAGCGTACGCCTTTAAATCAAGAACGATGGTTGGGTTAGTTAAGGTTGAAAAGAGGGGCAAAAAATTGCCACATGTCCTGGTGGACATTCACTAAAGCCAGTATGGAAAGCGGATTACTTTGGAAAATCTTTAAAAAAAATGTTGACATCTTATCTGGATACCCTCATCCTTATGGCTACCGAAGGTATATATCATTTGATACGGCCAAATTGTGTCTCATCGAAATTATAGGTCTAAAGATAAATTTAAAAGAGAGAGAGAGAGAGAGAGAGAGAGAGAGAGTAAAAAGGGTGTGGTCAGGATTTTGAAAGTAAATTTATCACAAAAACGATCTAAAATTAAGAATCAATTCAAAAAATATCGGTTGGTGTTTTGACACCGGTTGTAGAACCCATTATGAGCTACAAATACCAAATTTGAAACAAATTCGTTATATGGGCGCTATTGGAAAACGTTGACCTATATATACAGTGTTCCAGCACTGGCCTAGAACCCATTACTAACTACAAATATCAAATTTTGGACAAATTCGTTAAAGAATGTGGCCTATATAGTCAAAATACCGAATATTGAAAGGTATTGTTATATGGGCGCTACAAAAAAACATGGACCTATACAGACTATGTTCAGTCACCAGAAAGGAACCCATTAAAAATTCTTAATACCAAATTTGGAACAATTCCGTTGATACATATCATCAAAATACTTAGTATCGGGAGGTACTGCTATATGGACCGATTTATCTTTTTTTTAATACCAACCATTCTAGACATAATACAAAATAATGTGGACTATATGGTGGATTTAACAGGCAGACGGACATCGTCACATCGACTTAGAATTTTATGCTGATCATGAATTTATTTGGAGGTGTTACAATGGGATGAGAAATCTACCATTTTTTACCCTATTTATTTATTTTAATACTCTCCACAAAAAAGAAAGTCTCGGGAGTAAATTTCCAAACATATGGAAATTGTGGGCAAAAGTTATTTCACTTCATTTCAAGTTTCTGTACAGCGAATCTTTTTATCTGTATTTTCCGAAATTATTTTTGCCTATATGTTTCATATATTCGCATGATGCATTTATTTTCAAATGTCTTATGTCTGCATATCCCGTAAAAGAATTGAACGCCAATTATATTATGCTTGGGTTACAAGCGATCATGAAAAATATTAACACACTGCTTCTGGTACCTGTCTCACAACAAAGGTTTTCTTTTTTTTGCCTTAAGCTTACATAGCAAAAATATTGTTAGCGTTTGTGCCACATTTAGCATTACTAGCAACGACAATCACATGCCATCTTGTTTACCAGAATTCCAGAAAATAATAACTACATACCCCCTGTGTACCTGTAAGCTAAAAATAATCTGTTATTTTCATAAAAGTTACAAGGCACAATAATTTACCTCTATCATTCAAAGAGGTAGTACGTCCGACTTCAAACCTTAAC